TTGGCTTTGTGTTTTCACCTGTGCAAGTGCTTAGCAACAGCAGATTGTTGTTTTCAGTCACTGTACAGAACTGCCTACACAAACACTCTGAATGGCACAGCTAAAAAAGCATTGTTTCTCCTACAGATTTGCGCTCTATCTTCCCTATACACATCTACTTGCAACTCATCTCAACTTCTGCTGTCTGTCCCTCAGGACCCCTGTGGAATACCTGCAGGTCCTTCCCATGTCCCTACAACCATTCTCAACTGGTTTCTTCCTCAGTCCTTGCCACTTCCTACTTCTGGGGAGCTCCCAGCTAGAACTGCAACATGATGTGGCTAACTGGTCAGCCTGCATGTGCTGGGTAGCTTAGAGGACCACTGAACTGAAAAACTCCCCTTACACTGAAGACACCCATCAGTTTCTTTCTAATTTTAATTGTTCAGCAGTCAGTGTTGACAAGTTTTGAGGGTGGATTTAAAGGCAGAATATAAACCTCATTTTCTTTGGCTGAAAAAGAGTTAGAGGCACATGGATGCCGATTTCAGTATCAATATGAATACTGATGGGTTTTTCCTCTTTTCCTCAGGATTATAGGTCATTTGACATATACACCTATATGATTAAATCACTTAATTATCCTGGCCCAGTATTGGGTAATTCTTAGGTCTCCATCCTAAGGAAATGTTCATACAGTTCTATCTGAGCTCACAGTTTGGAAACACTTCTAATATTTGTCAAGCTGCACTGGGAATCTGGTCTCACAGCTGCTTGTGTCTACTTTGGACCTATGGAAAGAGGGAATTTGTAGTGACCAGTTTGAAGCATTAGGAAACAGCTCTTCAGGATTCTTTTACAGGCTTTAATCTTTTCCTCTAAGAAATGGATAAGGCTTTTGTTGGTATAGAAACCAGTAACATATCACCTCTTGCAAGAAAACAAGGATTTGATCTTGGAAGACAAGATTTGCCAAACAAGTGTAATGATTAGACTCAGCCTACCCATGTAAGTCAATTATAACAAACATTAATCTGTAATTAAAACTAATTTTGTGGAACCTTACACTTAGCTCTAACTGCTGTTTGAAGGAAGTATCTTACAGATTGTTTTGGCTCTCATTTGTTATCTCTTGGCTTGAATGAGGTAAAAAAAATCATTGCCGAGAGTTTCATTTTTTAAGGTTGCCAGGTTTTCATTCTATTGAAGGCTATGTTTGCATAATAAAACAAGTATACAAAGCAACTGCAGTAGGAATGTATTGAACACATACAACATGTATTTCTCATAAAATATACATTTCTAGGGCTCTAGAGCTTCCTATGTAGTACCTAGACTAGAAAAGTAGGGTTTATGCCTTTGAAGTTATGACCATTAATTATGCCAATTATTTAATATTTATCATTAATGCTATTTATTAGTGCCCTCTGTAGGGGAACCCATAAAGGTTTGAACCTAGGCAGACATATGAGGAATAAAACCACTTAGCAAGATGAAAAAAATAAAAATAAACACCAAACCCCTTGCAGACATGGCAAGCATAACATGCTAGAGGCAGGTCAAGACAAAACTACAGTTACAGCAGCCAATTTGACCAAACTCTAATACAGTCCTGATAGGAGGAACACATCATAGATCCAAAATCCATGCTTAATCCAGGTTCTCCAGTTCCTGCCTGCCTTCAGTGCAGCCCTTGTTTGCTAACACCAAAAAAGTATCTTTTCATGTAACTTGCCTATGTTGGCCAAGACTTCATACCACAATTTCAAGGTCAGGTAGGAATGCTCAGTGAAGGTAGAAATAAGTTGTTACCATTTTTGATTAAAAGGTGGGCTTTTTTCCAGATAGTGCCTAGCCTCCTTTTTGTTGCAAGAGATATTAATTCTGCTTTATTCAGAATCTAATTCTTAGATCTGTAAGTAAGCTTATCTTTACTACTGGATTTCCTACAGAAAAATCTGTTTTCTACAAAAAATAAAATGATGTTTCAAACAATTAATATACAGAAGTAAATTTTTAAACTGCAAACATTTACTTGCTATAACAAAATGCTGTTATGTCAATGATAAATTCATATAAAACCTGTAAATGCATTCTCGTTTTTATAGTGCATAGAAACTCCAAGGCAAAATACAATAAACACAGTATCTTAGCAAGGGAAATCTTTATCAGTGTTCAGCCCTTACAGTCAATCACTTAATGCTTATATACTTCCGATTGTTTTTTATCTGGACTTTAACTTGTAGTTCTTAAAGCTGCAAAACAAACTATGAAAACCAAAAAAAGCATAGTTCAGACTGGATTTTGTCCCCCATCTCCAACAAAACAGCCAATGCTAGGCTGATATTTTTCAAACCCATAAGAACAGTAAAATAGGAAAAATAAAATAGATTTAATTCCCTTCCTTTATCTTTTCTTTTTCTGTATTCCTTTATCTATGTTCAAAGAGAAATGACCAGTTTGAGAAAATTCTATTTAGATGTTTTTTCTTTCGCTTCCCCATGGAGTTTGCAAGTGCTGCCTGTTTCTTCCTTACATTTTTGTTGAGAGAAGAAAGTCTTTTGAAGATTTTGCTTTTCCCTTTCTTAAAATGGAATTTTTTCTTATTTTTCTTTTGGATTAGCAAGCAACGACAACTAATGCAATCAACTGTTTTTCTATTACCTGCACATTTTTCAGTTGCTGAATGCATAATGTAACTAAATTGTATATTTAAAATTATTGCAACTAGCTCTTATAAAGCAATATCATAAGTCACAATAGCAGCATTGCAATTTTGTGTGTAAGAGAACTAGTGGTATTCATGTTGCTTTATCTTATTACCCTGAAAATTTTAGCTGCTCAAGACCTTCTCTGTGCTCTGAGAGGAGTTTAAGGAATAATATAGTATGCTGCAAGAAGTAAAAGTACCAACTAGACAGGATGTATGATGAGAACCATATAGGCATATTTGTGAAATTTGTGTTCTGTGTAAGTTACAACTGCAAACCGGGTTTTGCAGCCCTCAGATCCTGCACTAATTTGTGCATGCGCAAGGAATTATTTCAGTTATATTCTGATATGGTACTGCATCCCCTTTGCTTCTTTCATCTACTCTGAAATACTGCTGAAATAGCTGATCTGTACAGTATTTAAGTGCTTAGCCTATTTAGAGTTACAGTATAGTAGCAGAGACATACGGCAGGACATCTTAAGAAAATTAATATCTTAAGTATTCAGAAAGAAATATAGGTACATTCTCATTTAAATGAAGCTAAGAAAAGTTAGAATGAAGACATTTTACTGTTCAGAGCAAATTGCAAAACTGTTAATGTTTCATTTAAATCATGATAAAGATTTCCCTTTGACCATTTCTTTGGTAAAAACAGCTGTGTCACATTTGCTTCATCTGCTAGTAAAAAGCATTTTCTTTGGTGGAGATTCTTTTTTGATCTTACAAGTCCAGCTTTGTAACACCTAGCTAATAGGCCCATTCTATATTACCTGTTCATTCAGTGAATGCAAGGTTAGTTCCAATTTAGGACATAAAATCAAACAGATCAGTCATAAAACAGGAAGTCTGATCACGTAAAAACTGCCTTTTAGTAGTAAAATGACAACGTTACAGACAGCAAAGGTCAAAATGCAGAATACATTATCATCTGTATAAAATGAAGTTTCACAGCTATTTTAAAAGCATCTTATTTCTCATAAATGTAGAGGAGTTTACTTAGAAGCATAGTAGATGTTTAAAATGCATAGCCGCATACATCTTCTGTAGCTTTGTGATGATTTCCACTTCTGTTGGCTTAAATCTCCTGAATTAAAAAAGAATAAACACATTTCCTTATAACATGAATTTTGTTATTTTGCTGCTTAATATTTTCCCATATTTGTTTGAAAATATAAACTGGAATGAAGTTTTTTTTTTTGAATGGTCCAATTTGCAAATCTGAATCCTTAGTGATGGACTGAGTGTCATATGCCAAAAGGACTTTACAAGAATAGGACCTTAGATCCAATATGGGATAAATCCTTGGGAACCTAAGTCACAGCAATCAACGAGTACAGTAACATGCAGGAAGCAGAGGAGACAATATACTCTTGGAAAGTATTTGTTCTTGATTTTTTCTGATTTGTTACTCTCTTTATATGATCTTTACCTGACACTTCTCTTTCTGTTCTTTAAAACAAAGGGTATGGAAACAATCTTCCTTCAGGTAGACGGCTTGTGATGAGGAAGAACAGTACCAGCAGTGACATGAATGCAAAGTCACTCACACCTCTCATCTCGAGATGAGAGCTTGGGGTGACAGATGCAGAGGGGGAATAACATGGGGAAATAGCTAGAGTATATAGGATTGGTCCTCAACTGACAGACCATCCTCTGACAAGCATTTCCAGCTGGCATAAGTAGAAGCAGCCTGTAATTAGACTGTAAAGAGGGCAGAGAATCAGGGAAGTTCATTATATAGTTTCCACAGGGCTACATATCCTCTGCTTCCTTCTTCTACCACTAATCCCTTCAGTCACCATCTATTAAGCGCTGTCTTCTTTCCTAGACTCCTATAATCCCTTGTTTCCCATCTCTGGTACTGTCACATTCCCCACTTGCTATTACACTTGCATCCTTCCTCCATAAACTCACTCAACACCCAAAATACAGCCTGAGAGAGCAGGATTTCAGATGCATCAGCAATTGTTAGCTTCTCAGCACCTACCCTGGCATTCATAGAAATGTTTCATGCTCAGGAGCCAAGCGATTAAGCAGGTTAATCGGGGTCCTATTTTAAGGACTGCATGGGTGAACAGAACTATTAAACCACAATGATGACAGCATTGAATTAAAAGATTTTGGACTCACTTTCTTGCTGGTATTACATAATGAATGGCTATATATTGTTTTATCTGAACAACAGTTCTATTAATATGTTGTTCCCACATCAAGAAGAACCCAGATTGGGATGGCACAGTGGATTTCTTTGTCCTTGTATTAGGCTGCTCAAGAGAAAAGTAAACTCTAGTCTGTTTCATCTTACCTTTTTAGGAACCAGATTAAGTTTTTCTGTGCCTAGCACTACTGTTTTCCAGACCATTGCTTTCTTCTGATTTACTGTAAGAAAGAGAGGTTAAATTCCAAAACTCAACTTCTAAGTATAGGATGAGCACAGTCATTCCAGTCCAACACAATCACAGAGTACATCTAAAATATATTTGATTTTCTCTTTCAGCATGTGAAGTTATAAGAAAAAAGACGATTAAACAAAATTTAAGCAACGAAAATACTGACTCTTGAAGTCTTTCAGCCAAGCCGTAAAGGCAGAACTCAATCCCCCTCAAAAATCCCACAAAGTTCTGGGCAGAAGTTATAACAGTGACAGTATTCCCAGAAATGATTGCTGTACTATCATTTCATTCAGTGTGTAGAATTTGTATATGAAGTGAATGCTCAAATAATATACAAGCAATATACAGCTCAACATCCTCAGAACATGGGCTGAAACAGACATGATTGTAGGTACTCCAGAAGGAGCAATTAGCTATATGGTGTTGGTCACAATCAAGACTTGAATTAACAATTCTCTTGCTAAAAAAAAATTCTGTTTCTGAATCACTAGCCTCCCCACCTAATACATTGTTGGATGTGACATTTTAATTATAGCCTCATCAACTAAGTTCAGTTGTATATTAGTCATCACTTGACATAACAGACAGAAAAGTTCCTTTGGAGCCATTCTCTCTGGTACACAAATCTATCTTCTAAACAGCCAGTAGTTGAAATAACTGAAAGTTATTTAAATCAGGCAAGAAGTACATGGTTTAATAGATTTTCCTCATATGTGTTTATCTAAGATAGAACTCCAAAGTAAAGATCAAGCAGCTGATCAAAACCACATCCCACATCTCATCAAGCATGAAAACATTATTTTAGTGCACTATACTGTGCTACAATCCTATTGTAATACAGTTTCAGCAAGTTTGTAAGAAGTAGGGCTAAGCGACAAGGGCAATTATTCAATTTTCAACCCAAGACATATCCCTAAACACTCAGCAGTATAATAGCATACTATATTCCCAAGATATATCCCCACTTTATAGTATAATTGAATTATAGCTTTAAAGCTGTTTAGATAAGGGGAAAAGCACTAAAATGTATTTTCAGCTAGCACTGGAAAAAGGAATCGGAAAGTGAATACAACACAGGGAAACAAAGAAGGTCACTGCAGCAAGGGATTCAAAAAAGGAAAGATAGTGCTACTCAGAGGGACAAAAAAAAGGGAGATAAACATAGGAGGAGACAAGGAACTGAAGCAAACTGGAGTAGACTGGACACATCTAAGAAGAGGAACTGCTAGGCTGCATCTTAAAACAAAGGGAAAGTTAACAGGCCAAATGAAGTGACTGGGCTTCAAAGGATGGGCAAAGGGAGAGAAGTATAGCTTATTTTAGCAAGCAAGCCTTTAGAAATGCATCATCCAGAGGAGGGGGGAGCCAGCATGGGAGCACCAACCCTCAAGGAGCAGAACAGCAACAGAACTGCCTACACCTGCTCCTTTGGCTTCAGTAGTGCAGCTGTTCCTGTGCCCAGGGAGCCCAAGCCATCAGCACAGTGAGAAGACCCCCGCCCCAAGAGACACGGGAGTTACCACCAAAACAGCCAACAACACCAGCTCCCAACACCCCAGTAACTACAGGCTTACCTAGGACAGTTAGGGCTTCGATGACATGCAAGTGAGAGAAATGTATGTTAATATGGACAAAAATACATATGAGAAAAAAATTCAAAGCCTCTTCTGCGAAATTTCCACCTGAAAGTAATTTTCCTCGTAGTTATAGCCTTTTAGAATGAGCTTATAATGATGACACATGGTGCTCTTACAAAAGAGTGAAGTATCTTCCAAACACCAAAATTAAGTGCCAAGTAGAAAAACGCGTTCTGCACACTCTGGAACTAGGAGGTCTTAAGGAAGGGAATAAACTGTACTTTCATATTCATCATTAGCCCTTACCAATGGGCTCAACAACAAGGTATAATTTTAAACAACACGCTAATATGCAGAAAAGGAAGTATTTAACTATAGTATACAAATTCTTTACTTACAGTTGCTCAACTTGGTCAAATTCTTTTTCGTCTTCTGCAGAACAGAAGAAGGATTATATAAGGTCTCAATTAGCAAACCGTACAAAAGTTCTGTTTAATTCTATTATTTACTCCATGTACAAGCAGAACAATCTTATTTTTTCATTTTATTAGTTTTCTTAAATTCGTAATTCAAGTTATCTTATTCCTCTATTCAGTGGAATTACCTGCAAATTTGTCAAAAAACTTACTTTGATCAAGTTTTATTAATCTTACTTTAATACATGTTATATGTATAAAATACAGAAAAATACATGTATGCATATATGTATAACACTATGTATGTATAATACATAGACACATATATACATAGATTTCTTTATATATGTCACTTCTATTTCATCTTGCATCATCTAGTTCAGCTGACCTATGTATGCCTTAGGTTCAACAACCAAAATTAGTGCATTCTGTTTTAATGCATTTTTTCCTTCTTACTCCTTTTTACATCTTACTACTTCTTGACAGAAGCTTCTCCCATCAAAACTACTAACACTTGCTTCCATTCCTAAGTATTCCCCCAAAAAGTATAGCCTCTAAATTCCTTTGTCTTCTGAGGAAAAAAATAAGGACTATATCAAACCCTTTATGAGAAAGTATTGCTAACTGAAAGCACTTTGTACCTGAATTCTAGACCCATCGAAGAGATTTAAATATCTAAAATAATGCAATTTTGTAGAAGAAAGTTTTTTATCAGAAAAAAATACAGATGTGAAAATCACACTGAACTTCATACATGAAGTGCTATGGGTCATACCTTTCTACCTTTGCTGCAATTTCAATGAAAAGCTAGAAAAGACTTAAAAAAGACTTACCTGCAGATTTCTCTTTCTTTTTCGAATACATCTCATAGACGAAAACAATAGTTACTAAAATAACAACTTCAGCCACAATTGCTAGAAAGGGTTTGAGAGGCACCATGAGGGATAGAACTCTAAGCTTCAGCTTTCCTTTACTTTTTCCTAGTTCAAAAGCAGCTTCACACCAATATACACCGTCATCTTCCTTGGTGAGCTTCAATATCTTCAGATGGGTTACATTGGCAGATAGTCTATTAATTACATATTTGTCTGCCAGCAGAGAGTCATTAATGGCAATCTGAAAATTAAAAATACAAGTCTTATTAATGCAATGAAAAAGTGTTTAATCAAATTATTTATATTATCAACAGATAGTTCTATATAGAGAGATGTAAAATGAGTTAAGAACAAGTGGCATTTGTGAAGCATGTTTAGTCCACCTCCAAGGGAAGGATTTATCTTAGCTGGCCACCCTGGTTCCCTTTACATTCAATGGAGGAAAATATGCATTTTTAGTGAGCAAGTTGTCTGACCTGTTTTAGTCTATTTAAGATCAGATGAAAGGTACCCTTGACTCTATTGACTCTCCACTGACAACGGCAGCCTCAGGTGTCAGGATCTAATGTCCAGGTTTCACCACAGCACAAAGCATACACTTTTGAGGAAGCTGAGCTGGAAATGCTGCTTCACTGGGAAAGTATGTTGATAGTCTTACAAGTCAATGCTACTCTCCAGCACTGTAGAGGAGACAGATCTATTTACCTTCTCTCAGTTGACAGTGCTTCCCCCAGAAAAGGGCTAGAACAGAGTGGCTATGCTTCCAAGGCTAAGGGGCATCCTGAAAGGTGGGTATGTGGAGGAGAAACTGCTGAGCGAGATTTGTCCTCCCAGCCTTTAAGGCAGGAGCTGAAGTGAGAAGTATTTCAGCTCCTTCAGAATCAAGTGGCACAGCAGTCTCCACCACGGGATAACCTCCTTCAGGTCCAGTGCCCCAGAGAGGTCATACAGGCTGGGAAATACAGAAGCACTTGTACCTGGAGGAGGAAAAGGGATATGCTCCTGTTCTCCCTCAAGCCTCCAATACCTTACATGTCCTGCTATGATAAGGTTTTTTTGGTATCAAGTAGTAAGATTTGAGGAATATAACCATCATTAATATAGTAAAGATAAGTATCTGAAGACTGATCTGATTTGTTTTACTCTTATCTGGGCTGTAAAAGTATGGCAGGGACTTTTTGGAAAAGAAACATCATACAAATCAGAACAAAAACTACATCCCTGCGATAATGAATACTGCTAAATATCACAGATTTTTCCATCTGCAGAGATTTACATTAACTTTAATAGAAATGCAATTTGTAGAGCCTACAGTGAAAAGTCATTATACTTTACAAAGTGTCTGTACTTGGTTTTTGCCACATTGTTTTGCCTGGCCAACAAATGAAAACCTTACCTGTTCACTTCCATTGGTCATATACCAAGTCCAAGCAATGGGAGTATAGCCAAAACTTTTACAAATCATTACAGCTGTATCTCCTTCATAACTGACTATGGGTTTTTCTTTTCCTTCAATTTTCGGTACTAAGAACAAGTAGGAAAAAGTTCATCAAGTGAGACCTACAGGTTTCAATTACAGTATTGTAAAAAGATAAAATATATTTAGATATGTATTTATATTAGTCCATTCATTTTCTTTTCCCTTAAACACAGATGATTCTATTATTCATGACATGATTTAAATGAAGAGTCATTTCAGGCTGATATTCCATATACAGAATTTGTGCAGAAGACTACAGGAATCCTGCTCTCAGTTGCTGTATGATCTTAAAAGTTGCCAATTAATACTGAAAACCAAGTGATAATCAGACTGATGTCTAGCCTTGCCCATTTCCTCTTTCCCTTCCTTGACAGCTGTGAGCTACGTGCTTCAGCTCTAATACACTAGAAACAGACATGCTAATTTTTCTGCAATTTCACTCAATCTGCAAAAACTGATAGAAGTCTATTCCAGCCATAATGCTACCTGATAATGGTATCTGGCAAGTTGTGCATGCAGAGAACTTTTTTGTAATCAAGACAAAACTGTAGATTGAGGGAGCTTTGTAGTTACAAACATTTTCTAAGCTGAAGTCATGACTTGTGGGTGCATGCCAGTAAAGAGGACTTCTGGTCCAATCTTGCTAAGGATAGAACATGGCCACAAAAAACAAGACATCACATTATAACTTTAGATCTACTTGTCCCTGCCATTCTAACTGCAGATGCCCCACAGCCTTCCAAGAGCAAAAGCCCAAAAAAGGCTGTTGAATATATTGAAGCATCCCACAGACATAGTTGGGGCTTAACAAATATATCATGATAGAGTATGTATTTCCCCTTCCCCCTTCTTTCCCCTTTCTATTAGGACATTTACCAGCATGTTCTCCTCAGATCCATTTATTTTAAATTTTACTTCAAGTTTCATTGTTCTATGTTGTAAGTTCAGACCCAGTACATTTTTTTAAATTATATTGGTCACACAAGACTAAACAGGCCAAGAACTTGCTTTCAGCAGTTATGATGGAACAATTTGGTATAAACTAAGATTGTTCTTGTTCCCTCCCCTTGTTGACTGGCTGAGCACAAATTAATTGTCCTGAAAAGTTCACTTCTCGTGAGTATTCAAACTTAAAAATTTCCATTCCAGAAACACTAACAAATTGGTTTCATATATAAGAACACACTGCTTACAACCTCAGAATTTGCTGCACCATACATCAATCCAGCCTCATTACTAGTGAAGTCTTCTCACTCCATATGTATTGTTTTAATCATTAAACACATCCTTCTAAAGAGCAGTGGCAAAGTATCTTCACTGCTGTCAGTAAAAGGGACAACTTTACTAATAACTGCTGCCACTTCCTTTGCAATTTATAGCAGGGGAAAAAACAAAAGCAGGTTGGGGAAAAAAGAATGGAACATGTGAAAACAAATTAAAAACCCTTGTAAGCAGCACAACAGGTTTATGTGGTAGTCAAAAAGATTCAGCCATGCTGATCAGTGGCAAAGCACAGCTATAGGCATACCAGCAATACCTTTACCACATTAGCCATGATTAAGGACATGAATATTCATCATGAGTTCTGGGATCTGGCTGTGTAACAGCGTGGTTAATCCTTGAATACATGCAAAGAAATAATATGCTTTCTCCCAGGCATTTTTGTAATTAGATCACCCGCAATTTGGTGACAAAACACTGCTGCTGCACAGAAAAAACAAATTGTTGAAGAGATGAACAGACAGGTGATCGCACCAGCATTTATACCAGTCAGATTTCCACACTGGTCTAAGACCAGAGTTGTTTCATAGTGCATGTACCTGGACAGCTGCTTAAGGATCCCTCAACAATGGGCAAACGCAAAGTAATCTGTTCTACCCTTTAATATAGCTATTACAACACTTCACACCATTTTAAAATACCCATAAATATTCTCTGTGTTTAATAATTTGATCTTCCTATAAGCATCTCAAAATGTTAATGGTTTTCTGCAGACCTGGGTAAAAGCTCAACTCAAAATCTGCAGGGTTATGCCAAGCCAGGATGGAGGAGGGGAGCAGAGGCAACACATCAATAATGCCTAACTGCCTAGTGGAAAAGCTACTGCAGTTAGTTACAGCAGTGATGACTTTAGCCACTGAGTCTATACCAACACATTACTCATCTTTCAGTTCGAGAATTGTTCTCTCTGCATTATTGACTGGAAGATTCAAGGACTTCTCTTTCGCATTTCCTTCACTCTTGCATTAATCTTGAAAAGTCTCAAGCCAGTACTTTTTACAGCATCAGAAGTGGCAGCATTCAACCATTGTGAAGCAATTCTCCCATCGTCTTGTAAGAAATCAAGCAGTCCTAAGCACTGTTCTGGAAAAGATTACTTCCCTATTGAGTCATTCCTGCCCTTACCAAAATAGTTCCTGTATACTTTCAGAAGAATAAGGTCTGCTTTGACTTTTTTTTTTTATGTAAAAAGACTTGGATAGCCATTCAACTAAACCTCACCCACATGTTGACAAGAAAAATATATAATCATTTTTAGAGATTAAAAGGTCTGAATAAACTACAATTTTGTCTTTCTTCAGTATTGCAAGCTGATCTCCCCTGGCTGAAGGTTTGAAAGCAGGTATCAACATTACTATTCAAGACTGAGATATACATGAGAATTTCCTCAAGTCATATGACCAGATATCCTGCTGAACAAAGTCAGCTTGCAGCACTGAGAATTACAGAGCCCTGCTGGTTAGTTCAGCTGAAGTTAGATATCACAGTCTGTGGGGCTTTCGCAGATCAAATTCTTGCCTTGCTCTACAAAATTTGGATGGTGGGAATAGAGAAGGGAATAGCTCTTATTAGAGATGAAGGTTCTTAGCAGCTTGTATTTGTTTCATTTTCACGTCTTCCATTCAACTGGATTCTGCCTACTACTGTCAAGGACAACATTACTGGAGAAGAGAATACAAAACAGAAGAGAGGGTACTCATACTGCCCAACGAAGCAAACTAACTTTTAATATAAGAGCTGTTCTTATAACATATAGAATGAAAGATGCACTAAAGCAATAACTTGGTGCTTCAGAAATACAACTGAATTTGTTCAAAAACCTGCCTCCATTCTGCCAATCATTGCTCCTCTTGTAACACTGAGTATCAGGCCAAACTTCCAAGTCATTGGCTCTGCTTTTTGAAGAATTTATCTGAGACACCATCCTTTCCTCCCACCCCCCAGAAAGTGATGAGTATTCACTCCTGCTGTAGGGATGGAGTGCAAAGGGGAAATCAGTCACTCGTTCAGGAAAAAAAGTAGGCTTATATGGTCTTTTGGTTATTAGCAAATTTTGTTAAAAAGGCTTTTAGTTTTTGCTTCAAAATTCTTCCTCCCTCAATGCTATAGAAATGCCTTTGATAGTGATTCTCACTTAGCTTGATCATACTAGTCACTGCTTATCAAATGAAGTTGCAATTTCCATACTATCCAGGAACCATATTAATACAGGATTTCAATGGTCAAGTGAAGCAAAATTTAAAATAACTTGCCTTGTAAATGAAACATAGCGCTGATTTCTTCACCTTTCAGAGTACAACTGTAACCTCCCAGATTACTGTTATCCAAGATCCTCAACCTTCAAAAAAAGTTTCACCAATTTGTTTTTTTGCTTGTATTTTCTTTTGTCCTATAACTATCAGTGACTGCTAATAAACATTCTAAAGAAACCAGCAGAGATTAGTAGTGGAGCAGAGAACATACATCACTGAAACGCTAAGATTCAGGTTTAGTGCAATGTAAAAACAGCATGGTATTTAAGAAAACAGAAGAGCACAAGCACACTTAGGAACGTAAATATTTTCACCCTTGTTGGTCACAGAAGGCCTAACATCTTTAAGCAGTATGATCTACAGGTTACCGAATTAGACATGGGTTCACCATGTGAACTATATAGCATACGCTATGTAGGACTTCAGAAGAGATTATTTAAATGGTTTCTTCTCTGTAAAGCCAGAGAGTCAATGGCTAGCATAGCTCCAACACAGAACAGTTTTAAAGAGCTGTCATCTAATGAAGTCCAGCATCCTCTCTGCTGGCAAACTATACATTTCACAGGCACTTTGAAAAAGATTTACATGGCTGTGTTTGTGTATATGGCGTAGAAGAAAAGCAACAGTACATTTTCTATCAGAGATTTTATATAAATGTTATTGATGTTAAGAAACCAAAGCAATACAGATATCAACTGGGGACCACCTGGTTAAAATTAGCCCATCTACAGATTTTAAGTCCAACAGTAAATTATATCAATTGAAGAAAATTTTCTACAACATTTCTTCACTCTTTCAAACCTCTGCAAAGACTCAAGAAAACCTTTAAAAAATCCAGAACATCTTTCATGTAAAGCTAATTTCTCCTCTCTTTTGCTAACTATGAAGGAAAAAAACTGGCCATTGGTGCCTTTCAGACTTCTGCAAAGCAGCACTGAGGTAGAAAAGAGAATGTGGAAAAAGAAATGGAGGTATTTTAGCAATCTCAGACTGAGATTACTACTTCAATTACTGAACAGAACTACTGGACCTCAAGGAACTGTGTCCTTATTCTCTACTTGTCCTCCTCTCTTTTGCTAACTATGAAGGAAAAAAACTGGCCATTGGTGCCTTTCAGACTTCTGCAAAGCAGCACTGAGGTAGAAAAGAGAATGTGGAAAAAGAAATGGAGGTATTTTAGCAATCTCAGACTGAGATTACTACTTCAATTACTGAACAGAACTACTGGACCTCAAGGAACTGTGTCCTTATTCTCTACTTGTCTTGAAGAAACCTTGTTTTTCCAGCACTAAAGGGAGCTTTTCCTCCAGGCTCAAGGTAACCGCAACCTTTTTCCTTTCCTGCAGCTTTAATATGTTGATTATGGGCATACATTAATCACCACATTTGGCTCTTTTCTAATATATACGTGACTACTATTGGGCAGTGTATATGCATGTGACAATAACTCCTTAGAACCCGGAAGTCAAACTGTAAAGAATGCTACTTACTGGATGCTCCAGCTGTTTTCAGTTTTATTCATGTGTCTGATTGTTTCATTTCCCCTCTTCCAAGTCACTTGAAGACTTTTCAAATGAGAGTATTTATTGTCCAATCTGCATGAAAGTTCAATTCTAGCTGCCCTGTCCAAAGTGATATTTTTTTCCACAGAAGTACCAGAAACACCTAAAAAGAAGTTTAAAAAATGGTTTATGAAAAACATTTCTTCATTCTGGGGGAAGAACAGATCCAAAGATTGTGTTTTACATATGCTGGATTACAGGTGGATATAGTGTGCTGCTATTATACTTTCCAGGGTAAAAAAACCTGCAAAAAATCAGCCAATCAGTCTTTGACAGTAATTTTCTTAAGCCATAACTGAGTTATGATACACATCCATTACAAAAATGACAGAGTCACTCCATTCTGTAGGTAAACTTTCTAGAGGGCTCTAATATAGAAACATAGATATTCATTTCACTGAAAGCAAGACAGACTTATACTAAACATAGATTCATTTCACTGAAAGCAAGACAGACTTATACTTCTACATAATTTAACCCAAACCAAAATATATTGAGTACTTAGCTCTTCACCAAGGGGAACAATGTCTGCTCTCAGTCTAAACTTCCTTTTTGACTTCACATTTGGTATTAAAAAGCAGGGATTTATTGGATTAAAAATATTTTATATTTAAAATAATAAAAAGTTATTAATAACATCAAAAAGAGTTAGACTTGTAAATATCTATAGCATCCAGGTTTTAGCCAGTTGCAGATTTTTATGATACTGTGAGATTATAGGTAATGTCCTGTTACTAGTGAAGTTGTTGATAAAATCCAGTCTTAACATTGTTGGATCTGGCCTTTCATACTCCAGCTACTCAGCTTGAAACCAAGTCATCTTCAAACCCATTTACGGCTGCCTTTGCCTTCTAGTGGCCAGTCAGTAGAATTACAATGTGAAGACATTCCAATGCAGTAGAAAAACCTGACACTTTTTTGCTTTTAACAAGCTCCATGAGCATAAATGAGCACATCCAAAAAATAGGTTTCAACAGCAGGTATCTCTCCAGTCCATACAAACAGCCTTTTCTTAAAAAAACACCTTTAACTTTGTACCTGTCAGCAATGATATTTTATTTCATAATTGGCCTTTTCTTTCATACCTTCTAGATAGAACTGTGGTTAGTCCATCTGAATACTCCACGAAAATTTAATCCAGGCCTCACCTCAATCCTAGACCTACTCTGTAGTACTTGATGGTCAAAAAAGTGCAGCTGTATTTCACAGCTCAAATTCTTTGAGAGAAAAGGAAGTTAAGGTACAGCTCACTGACTTAGTAATGCAAGTCATACCTAAGAAGCAGCAAAGTCTGAAGTGGAAGCACCAGATACTCCCATAGAATATTTGAACTTTACTGGGTCTGGCAGAGACATTTACAGCCTGCAGAACAGCATGCCCAGAACTCCAAGTCCCTGCCAAAATATTACAGATCTGTTGAACTGGAGTTAAACTCAGAGGTGCAACACCTTGGCCTACCTTGGTCTTTCATAGCAGAGCAAAGTCAGTTACTGCAACTCATTTATTACAGCCATTACACTCAATAAATGAGCCAACCTCAACAAGGTGTGTTATGCTTGTTTATGATCAAAGTAATTTTGCAAATGGAATTGGTTTCATAGTAGCAAAAGTTTTACAGTCAGATTAATTACACTGGCTAAAAATAAAATCCATACCTTTTGAGATTATTTTAAAAATAAATCCACACTTTAAATGAATGGAACATGAAAACCCTACGCTGTTGAAAATTAACCACTAGCAAGACTGATATCTGGTGCATCTCTGTACCAAGAGTACATGTACCAGAACAAGAAAGACTCTACCTTAAGTTTTCTGCTAGAAGAAAATACAGCATAAATGCTGTGCAATTATGTCCTTAAGTATCATACCAGTACTTTGCAAAGGAGTTTTAACTGATCTCCTCCAATTGAGAGAGATTTCAGGTAGATCAGTTTTTCCAGTTGTTCTGAGAAATTACTTATAAATGCTTATTTGGCAACTGGGAACTTCACATCTACTTTAGGAAGAAGCTTATCTTGCCTTTTCTCCACACTAACTCGTGTAATGCTGCAAAGCTGACTAACACCTGCTGGTTAACAAGTACCCTAGCTTACATGGGCTCTCCAAGTGGATTCACTACTGCAAAGAAATTGTCACTTGAATTGATTTGGGGGAACAGATAGCTATGAGTTGTTTTTACTTACAGTTTTAATTAAAAAAAAATAAGAATCTCATTCTCCACTGCAAAATAGTTATTAAAACACAAAACTGAGTAGTGCAACAAACTTACTCATCTTTTCTTTTACTGAGCTCATCACTTGCTCACTGTGAACATCTTAACTTTATCAAGTTGCCATCCTAAATACTTCTACGACTCATACAAAAGATTATGTGTAATCATAGGCATTCAATATAAAATAACTGGAAGAGAAAATAAACACACTCACCAGGTAGGAGTACCTCATACTCCACAAAAGTGACATTAGACATGTTCTCTTTGGTTGCCTGCTTGAACTCTTGTGTGGTAAGATCTGGACCTAACAAGGTTGTGGGGGGAAGCAAAGTGATATGTTATGATCCTGTAAAGGTAATCATACAGCAGAGTGTCAACGTGGTATTGCAATTGTTTCTTATAGTAATCTTGGGGGAGAAAAAGGACCTTGCCAAATGCTGACTACTATGGAGATCCTTTCATATACCTTGTGTATTAACAGCCAGAATCTTAAAGTAGCAGTGTTGTATGGCCACTGTTATAGTAATTATGCCATTTTAGAAGATAGTTTCTAGCTTTAATATCATGTTGTAATTGTGAATGCCAATACTCTAAACAGGTCTTATCTATTTCACAGCCTCATTCAAAGAGTCACCTATATATGTGGCTTTTCCTAAAGCTTACAGGTGGGTCCTAGAACTGTACAGGACTACGTCAATGTTTAAGCAGAGCTTGGAAAAGTAATAAGCTTCAGAAAAATAAAAAAGAAGAAACAGAAGAACAGAACACTGCCATTCCCAAAGCCACTACAATTTAACAACACAGCCAGAAAACCAGAGGTAGACTATCTAATCTAGATGCAGCTCTAATGAATGCAGGGGCAAGAACACCCTGTGCTCCACTGGAACATGGTCTGAGTCCCTCACTGCTCTGCAAAACTCTGGTTATACTGCAGGGAATTTCCTTCTACACACAAAGAATATCAATATTGACCATCATCTGCCTGACTAAAATATACTTTCCTTCTGTGAGGGAAAAACTACATTTAAAAGTTTTAATATGGCCAGCAAAATCCCTTTTCTGTAGGACTATAGATAGCATACTATTCAGAGACTACCTTTATAAAGCTCTACAAAGCTTGATAACAGCTATCAGGCAGGCAACTGTAAGCATAAACAGTCTGTTCCCACCACTGTACTTGTTCTCATGCTCTGTGCATTTCAAGAACAGAGCAAGAAAGCAAATTAATAAGCTACAGCTTTAACAGATGTAGCCCAGCTAAGGAAGCATCACCCTTCCACATCTACACACAATTGTTTCATTAGTATTTTACTACCTGCATACAAGTTCCTAGTAAACTGCAGCACACTGCGGGAGATGACATTAGAAATTACGCTTAAAGGAAAGGTCAATTCAATACAGTTATAGCAATTTTTATTTTTTCAGTTTCCACAGTTACTTTCTATACAGCTTTAAACATCAAACTGTTTGTCTTGGTAATTATCAACTAATATAAATCCTCCATAACCACTTGATTAAAAAAAAAATCAAGGTAAAACCTTAGGGTAACCAAAATTTACTAATATAAGTAGAAGACAACATGTGATTGCTTTTACCAGGTGTAGATACATTACGTCCAAGTGTCAGATGATCTGAAGGGCTCCCCTGAGTTCGCCAGTTGACAGTTCGTGTAGTTGTCACAGGCTCTGAAAGGTGAAAAAACAAACTGGTTACAAAAAAATTTGTTTCATCACTAAATTGAAAGAAAATTAAAGAAACAGACATTCCCCTGCCCCACGGTAGATAAATACACTAAATGTTTTAAGCCGCATGTTTTACATGCTTGCAAAGTAATTTTATTGTCAGTAATTTTATAATACATTTCAGGAATATATAAATAGCAATTGATTGAATCTGCCTTATCATACAGCATTATAGGAGAAAATTATTCTAGTTTTTGTAGAAGGGAAGGGGCTTTGTTATCTCTCCTGTCCATGGATTGAAAAGGTTTCTACTCACAGTTGGGAAAATAAAGGAAAATTAGGCTACAGCTTCAGTCTTCTCAATGAAAGCAGCACTGGGTGGCAGAGTTGATCACTGTGCAGTAGAAATAGTACCTCTGAAAGCCTAGATCTTCTCAGAATTACTCCTTCTCTTTTCCTGCATAAAATACTTAACTTTGAGGTAAAGTTCTTAAACATATGCCTCTTGGCTACAGTTGAGAGAATCTGGCTGTGCTGAAGGAGGTCCCTGCTAGTGGTTTGCATCTAAAGGTCTCTGAGCAAGAATAAACAGAGGTACCACAGGCCTTCCAAGTTGCTGGCCCATTCCATAAAGCAGTGTTTTTCTTTATCAACGTGTCAGCTCACAACACAAGGAATGCTGTGCCACAGGCAATCAGCCTTTTGCCTGGCTTGTTCCATCTGCATTTTCATACCTTCCCTCATGCTTCAACCAGTTTAAGTAATAATAAACCTGTATATTAAGGTGGACGATGCAGAAGAACACAGCTTCAGGCTAGTTCATTTGGTGGTTGTTGACAGTAGGCTGTTGTCTATCTCAACTACTAGTCCAAAATGGCTTTTTAAGCAAAAAAATTATGAAGCTGTCTCCTAGCACTAGACAGTATGTCCTGTTCCTCTATACAAGAGCACAAGCAAGCCTTGATCTCTGCCTGATGGAGAAAAACTCGTCCAAGTGTTTACCCCTGAAATAAGAGGTGAAGGCTGAAAGTGTTCTGGGGAATCTTCCTCTGTCCATGTGTGCAAACACCCTGACAGCATGCCAAGGTTGTCATGGATCACCTCAGTTTATGTCAGTCTAGTATATGCATCACCTGGTTTGTTACTGAAATCCCTCATGATGATAGATTCAGAAGGCACCAGTGCCAGTTCATAGAGCAGTTGTTATCTATCCACAAAAACCAGACAACCTTTAAAATGTCTTGCACACTAACAGGATTTTCATACTGACTGTCTTCCTCATTTGATATGTGAATTGAAAATAGTCAGGTGAGGTCATCCTTACAAAATACTTCGTGTATTTTAGTTCATATGTATGTGTGTGTATGTATGGAAAGAGTTATTGCATCTATTAGATATTGCACTCCTAGTTCTCACACACATTGTGCTAAAAAGCTCTGAAAATGGAGATGATAATGCTGTTTATCTGGTGTTCAATGACAAAACTTTAGATGGAATAACTTGTCAGAACTTGCTTGAGTTCATGTCTAAATATAACTTAGCCCATGTTTGATTTGCATTAATCAGCATGAGCTTTGGTACACTGCTGAATTCCTGCTGCTCTGATCTTTATGGAGAAAGGAGAGGTGGGAATCAACAATCATTGGTTTCTTCTCCCGCCTGGAACTTATTCTCTGCTCCCTATCAAAACCACAATTAAGGTCCAGAATATGGTGAATAAAGTGTGAGGACAAAAGAAGGTTTGACACATCCATAATTTAAAAAAACAGACAGATGAAGCTAGCAGGCACAGTGATGCAAGGGCATTCATGTACCTCTCACTAATACAAGAGCGTAACGAAGAGTCCTTACATGAAAAATTATCAGGTATAAGTGCTGGAACAGAACCTCCCACAATGGTTCTAGTTTGGGAATTGTCCCATCTCCAGGGTCTTTGCCTGCTTTTATGGCATACATGCATAAGGGCAACAGATCACGCAACTAGCAGTTGGATAGCTTTTTCCACAGGCCTTAAGATGCCTACGACACTTAAGCTCTTGCAGTGGCTTTAAAGGGCCTACATGATCTATTTACTTGTTTCTTCTGAAGAGCCACAATCTTATTTCAAAAGACTTATTTAGTATGAAAATGTAAACTCTACATGGTAACTTAGGATCAGTAGGAAAAAGTATTAGAGCTTTAGGTGTACTGAAATAAAAGAATTACCAGGAGATGATTCATTAAGTCCAGCTTGCATCTTAGTCAATGAGTATGCCTGAGACTGACTGGCATCTTGTGTTGTCATAGTTGGATCTAAAAAGAAAAAAGGGTTCAAAGAAACTTTATTCTCTCTCAGCTGAACTGAGTTAGAAGTATCTAGTTCATTAAAAGAATCCAAACAGAACCTCCTCACCTCAGCCTAATACCTCCATTTTTTCTCCAAGTTCTGAGCATATACAGCCAAAATGTGGAAGAATTACTTTTCATTAGTTCTTTAGCTTACTTTAGGCAAGAAAAGATTAAAGAACAGAGGCAGTATTTATTTGGCCTCTAATATCTGTATACAGATCTCTTCCTGTAGTTAGCCTATAGTCAGGCAAAGACATTCTTCAGAATATTCCAGCAGACCAAACTTCATAACCTGTACTTAAATCCTGTCTTTTTTGTGGGCGTAGACAACCACAGCTTATGACACTGACACTAGCTGATTATTTTTAAATGTAGATTAGCAGATTCACTAATAGAATAAGGACCTCATTACAACCTTACATGTCTACCCTGCTTAGAGATGCAATGAACAACCTCCTTTCCTTCTATTATCACCTTGGTGAGCATAACAAAAGGCACTGTGTCAAACATGGACTTCACCAAGTAACAGTAATGACTATTTCCATATTTATTTTTTTTTTTAACACCACTGCAAATCTGATTCTGCTCCTATAAAACAGTTTTTGTAAGAGCCAGGCAATGCTTTATGTTCTTGACTGGAGAAAGGACAGCAGGGGAAGAGGCGGAAGACTTGCTTAGTTCAACTATGTTTCTGTGTCACTCTTAAGAATTCAAGGTCCCTAGATGTTTTATAAAAATGGAGATGTTTGCTCCTTCCTTTCTGTTCCCACATTTGGGTGGCAGAACTAGTCAGCGTAAAATAAACACTGCATCTTCACATGCTTAGGTATTCCAGGACATATTCCACTGCCATAGCAGCAGGATGCACTCTTCCTCAGACTCAGAGCAATCTCACATTAGCAGCTTTTAAGCGATTCGGCCAGTAGTTACACAGAGAAAAAGGACACATGTTTTGTAGTTCTAATTAAAATCTGGGAAGGGTAATAAGCTCTGCTAGACATCCAAGACAGCAGCAAGCATAGATGAAAAGTGAAAAGCTGCATCATACTTTAAGCGTGTTCAAACTTGAGAACTGCGTGCCTTCAGCAGAAAATAAAGTCAGCACCCTGCCAGTTCCTACAAGTGAACAACACTACTAACACTCCTACCCCATTTCAGCACTACAGGCAAAGACAACCTACAGACTCTCCCACTGGCACCTCCAGCACACAGTTACTCCAGACTACATCAGAGTCATGCCCAGCTTGCACCATCTGCTTTCTCAATCTGCCCATCATACTTCAACCAGTTTGGATCAAGAGTAAAACAAGGTAGTCAAAGGGTATGATTAAAAAATAAAGCATTAGTGGTTCTTAACAGGCTCTTCATTTTTCATATTTTTTCATACCAGCCAAGTGTTCCCTCCCAGCCCCTCACCCAAGCAAAGAACATAAGAAATCTGCTGTCTACGTATCTGCTGGCTTATGACCCAGCCAGTAAGAAGACCGAGTCTTATTCTCTGCTTGACAGAGGTGTGAGAACAGGGATAGCTATTATGCTTCTGATATTCATGGTAAGGTTGAAGAAAGGTCCATGAATTTTTGTATCTGCAGCATCTTGAGGCATTCTAAGGATGTCATGGATCACCTGACTGTGTCAGCTTAGTAGATGCATCACCTGCACAGTAATTAAAATCCCCAAAGATTATAAATTTAGAAGGCGCAGTGCCAAGCTGTACAGCAGCTCTGTTATCTCTCTGCAAGGAAGCCAGATAACCTGCAACATGGTTTGCATACTAATAGGATTCTCATCTTGGCTTTCTTCTTTGGTTCACATACCAAGCGAAAGCAGTCAAGTAGTATTATTTCTCATCACCACTGCTTCCACATATTGGCTCTTACCTGCCCATATGTCAAACTACATAGCACTGAAATAACATGGCTCTGCTTTTGTCCTCTCATATACACCCGCTGAATAGCATCAGAGATCAAGATGACCCAGGACTGCATTAGTGTCATCAAGCCAGGCAGTGATGTAAGCAAATCAAGTGGAATAACTTCTCAAACTATTGAGTCATGGCTGCATGCCTTAGCCTATAATTGATTTGCATTAGATTTAATCAATAGTGTGGTAGCTTGCTGAGTTCTTGTTGCCCTGATCTTTATGCAGAAAGTAGTAGGCGAGAGTATGAGGTCATTAATTTATTTTTCTACCTTACCTCTGCTTCCTACTGCAGCCAATATTTGGGGAATAAAGTGTGGATGTACCATACTTGTCATCACCAGAGCAATTTCAGGCTTTAAAATCTATTTGCTCTTTTTCAGCCAGAAAAGTGGCTGAATAGGAAAAGGTTGAGATACAATTTGGCTTGGTTTAACATCATTAATTTAATGTTTAATTTAGTGTCAATTAATTTAATATCAATTTTATACTCTGTGCAAACACACAAGTGTTCAGTAGCATCCAAAACCAGCCACCAGAACCTCCTAGTGCCCCTAGAAAAGGGGCAAGCTGCACGCTGAGCTCTCCTGAGGCACCAGAGGATCCACATGAAGGACTTCCAAATGCCCTGATAGAAGCCCTTCCCTCAGGGCAAACCAGAAAAATCCAACCTGGAAGCAGAGTCTGTAAGAAATAAGGTGTATAACTCCTTGTATCTTTAGGGCAGAAGTTAGGACATGAGATGTGGTGCATTTGCTTTTCCTGAAGGAATCTGGCAGCACATCCTGAAACTAAATTAGACAACCACAATGATAACCAAATGAAGCAGCAAACTCTGAAGAACAGTGTTGTGACACTTAGTTAGAAATTACCCTCAACTCAATGTAGAATAAAAATGATGGTTTAAGTATTTCAAAACAATTAACTAGTTACAAGACTAAAAGACAAAAGTAACAGAATAATAGTAACTCTCCTCAAGCTACTTATCTCAAAATAAAAATCTAAGAGGCCTCTTGTGCTATCTGCCTGATCAGTTGCAGAAGGGTATGCAACCTGCTTTTCTGCAACTCAGTCCTTGTGCACCTAGTACTCCCCCCAGTTGCTTTTACTGCAAGCATTTATTTTGAAGAAACCCGCTGAACCCCCACGTCTCTGGAACACACACTGTTTCTGGACTTTACTAGAAGGCAGTTTTAGTTCTTCTCCCTCCAAGGGAGCAGGAACTTCCCTTTGCTGCACCTGTGCAGATGGTCCCTGTGCTTGACTAGGTTTTTGCCCATTTGGTTAATAACCAATGGAAGAGTAAAACACTTTTCCTCACATTTAAATCATGGAAATCACAGTATGAAGCCTCCCTATCTAGTTCATAGAAATATGAAAGTGTTTCATAGAAGTCTGAAAAACAACAGCCTCACTTTATACAGATAAAGCATACTAAAGCAGGTGGCTCACTTCTGATGTCTGCTCAAAACCAGACATGGTATCCACCACTTTAGGAAGACGGTAGATTTATGGAAATTTTGGAAACACAAACAGGGTTTTGTTGGGGTTTTTTTTAGTTGTTTTGGGGTTGGGTTTTTTTCAGAAGAGGGTATCATTTCACTGATGGCTTTACATAAACTTAGAATTGCTTCAACCATCATTAAGTACAGTTTTCAGCAGTAATAGTCATCAAAAATAAATACCATGTGGCTGACTTGCCATAATGTGACTCACATGTTCCTACAAATATCAGGCCATTTACAGTCACAAAAATTCTTGATCAACAAAATAAATTGTTAGAAAGTACTTCAAGTTTTATGTGTGTGTACATAAACACACATACATATTTTAAAGAAGCTTTAAGAACTACTAAGCAGATTTTCCTCTGTGCACATACATAAATATGTGTATTTCAAACAAGTCTTGAGAACTGCAAGACAGATTTTCTGTCCTTTCACATTATGTGAAACTACTACAAATTTTACAGAAGTTATCATCACACAGGGAGAAGTATTGCTCCTCTCAGAATTAGGAAGACCAACTGAGGCACAAACAAACATGTAACTATTTACATATCACACACTGAAAATGCAGCTAAACCATTGATGGTTAATTCAAGCCACAGCAATAATGTTCACATACATGTATTGGCAGAACTTTGGGCCTTGGCAAGACATGCTCCAACAATGACAGCTTGCACAGCAAGCATCAGCTATCTGGTATTTCCTTCCATTACCATTCTCTACTACTCTGCGATGGTTCAAAACCAGCAATTAACAACAGAAATCCACTAGTTTTAGAAATGAGCTCCTGTTCCCTTAGAAGTGACTGGTCTGCTCCTGAACTGCTGGAAAACACTAGAGGAAAAATAGGGCCCAGAAGGCTCAAATCCCTCTTCCTTCATGAATTTTAAATGTTACATTTAAAAATGCAATATAAAATCCTCCAAGGAACATTCCTCACAACCTACTAGGCATACTGATATTTTAGTAATTTAACTTGCCCATTTGGGTTTTTTCAGGACTTAAATAATGCTTTACTTGATAAGGATAGGGCAGCAATAAAACACTATGCCTCGACCTCCAAGTCCTGCACCTGTGAACTAATAAATCCTCCTGTTTGTGAGGCAGAAAAAAGGAGATGGTATTAGACTGCAGGACTGAACATCACAGGATGCGGTTCAGCATCGCAGCCGGTGTGTCTGCTGCCCACCAGCACACACACGCAGGGAGGCAACGCTAACGACCACGTTACGTTCATTAGAGGAGAGCAGAGGACCGATCCCTACTTTCCGGCAGGCCTACGAAAAACCCAAACACTTTTTTGACGTTAAAGACGAAAGAGCACCGGGGGGCAGGGGCGGCAGCTGCCCCCAGAGCGGGGGCCGGGGAGGAGGAGGCAGCGC